TCGAGATTCAAACGAAATAAGCTGTGTGATTTTAAACACATCATTTTAGGTGTTTTAGTCGTTTTCATTTTATTTTTATCTGAGTCTGAACATGCCACGCAGACATTTGATCGTCGATGTGGAAGATGCTTGATTTACCTCAATAACATCATCTTATTGATAGGATCAAATGAATTTTTCAACAGCTAATGTGTTTAAAGCTTGTAGAAGCTTTCTTGACAATATCAATGAAAATTCTTCTGGAACCAATTTTGCTCGATTTAATTGTTTAATTACATCGAAATAAAATAGATTTATGAGATCGGCTAGAATACATTTTGGATATCACTAATACAAGGTGTTCAGATAAAGTAAGTGGCAATTAATCCAATTCATAGACGTTAGGACTATCACACTCTCATCCATCTAAAACTCACTCACAGCGACATCTCTACCGATTGAGTCATATTCACAGTTGTTTCGTAAATCCGTAAAATGTTCATAAGATTATATTTTGCTAAAAAGTTGGCAGTTGATTGTTTTGAAAGGTACAAAGGATATCGTCATGATTTTGATCTGGACATTAGCATACATATGTATTGTTAGCACTTAATTCAATTTTAACTGTTGCATTTAAAAATTTTGATAAAGAACAAACTTATAAAAAATAATAAGAATGGACTTGTAAACGTGAAATTCATTGTGTGCGATAAAGATGTCAAAAACTATTGAAATCTTTATGGTTTCCCTATCTCTTTTTTCAAATGTTACATCATATGTTTCACGAAATAATTAACATAGCATCATAATTACATTCCACCATATGACATATCAAAAAAAAATTTCCACGTCACAGACACTGCGATGATGATTCATTAGCTTGTAATAAACTTATTATTTCTTTCAAAACATACTACACTTTTTTCATTTTCACAATGTTATTGGATTAATTTAAATCTGTTTAGGAATTAAAAATTTTAAGATAACGGCTTAATAAAAAATTGAGAAATTCAATATATTTAAGAAAATATTTATATTCATAAGCATTTTTTGAAATACTATTTTCTAAGAAAAAATTATTTAATATTTGCTTCCAAACATGATTCGAATATTCTGACTAATTTCTGCGTCATATTTTTTCGTAAAAAAATTATGTATAATTAATTCGTAAAAGGCATATATATCAATGTCGAAATGAGTTTCGACGTGGCAAATAATTGTTGTGAATTACTTTATTCTTTTTTTTTTGCTTTGTTTATGATTTCTCGTTATTTCAACTAGAACATTCGATAAAAAATAGTAGACTGTATTGAAAAAAAAAACTAATTTCTTAACTATAGTCGGCATTTTCAAATTTCAACGTCTGTAGTTTTTAATTCCATCCTCAAAGCAAAATTGCTGAACCCTGCTAAAAAACCAAATGAATCATTGACGTGCGGAATTGCCTGTATTATTTTCAAAAAACTGAGCCAACTATCAATTTGTTTTGCACAGCACACTTTGCTTGGTCGTTTTATATGTCGTTATAGTTAATGATCTTGTGACTCAACAAAACGATGGAAAAACGACAAGCAGAATAATATGGATGTCCTTCCAAAAATTCTCGAACGATATAAAAGAAAACTATGAATCGTCTTTCTTTAATTAACATCGATTCCGCGAAAATTCAGGGCTATCGAGTTTTTCATAGATGATTAACTTTTCAAGTAATTACGCGAGATCAATTATGAAATCATTTTTTAATTATCAGATTATTTCGACTAAGCGAATATTTTAAACGTTATCATCCATTCCAACCGTACAAACGATATTCTTATGACGTTCGAGCTTTGATTTTTAAGTTGATATTCCGATAAATAAAAGGTTAACAAACTATATCATACAAATTTCGTGGAAAATAACAAATCACCCATATTCAACCCGCAATTATGCATTTTCTAAAGCATTCGTTAGAAAACATTTTAAAGGAAAATGTGACGCATATTTGCTGTTTTAAATTTGCCAATCACCGAGCACCGTCGAGTCATTTTTCCCGTTCAACAAAATCGGTATTTTTTTAATCAAAAGGCGGCTGGGACATGTCAGGCTCAATAAAACACCAATCTTTTTTCGTCAAACCAAACTCATTGTTAATATTAGTACATACGCGCCTTGGGAAAAGGATGCTGTTGTTTTTCTCTTTCGTTATTTGTCTGTCCAATTTCGAGGTGTTCGTGTCATATTGTGAACTGCCAAGCACGGAGGTCTTTTGCGTCAAAGCACTAATGAAAATATACCGAAAACCTACTGTTTTAAACCATGATAAGTATTTTTTTTTAATCTACATAGTGCCATAACCTATAGCAAATGACAAAACGGTTTCCCACGTGTGAGTAACAATGACGCGTCCATCGCTCTCGCGTTCGCCATTTATACGTTGTGGACGATCGGGTCGCAACGAATTTTTCTCAAATTTTCTTTACCTCTGTTTTTTAGCTTTTTGCTTATAACATAAGTCTCAAGCAAATTGAAACGCAGACATTTTTAATTAAAGAAACGGAAGCATGGGATGTGAGCGCTGACCAAGGTTTTCTGGACCAAAGAATAACTGACATTTGCTTTGTTTCTTTGCGACCGTGTTCTATTATTTCCCATCACATATTATTAAAGAGAGTGCAAGTAGATATTTGGTTTCTCGCAGATTTCTTTATGTTTGTCAGATGGAAAGAAGTTTTTTTTTGGCGAAATGAACTGCATTCAAGGTTACGAGCATCTTTTTTTTCTTTTTTTAAACAATTGGCGTCAATTATGAGAAAGTATCGGCGAGCGACGGCACACTGCCGCGTTCTGATGTGCATGCGCGATTTACAATTAGATTCATTAGTAGCCACCTTTATTAGTTTCATTGTGAATAACACCCACCATTTTCGCTCATCCAAACAATCTTGTGTGCTAAATTTTTCCCGATGCCCAAATATTCATCCGAATTTTGAGCAATAATTTGTTTCCTTTTCCTTTGTTTGTTTTTCAAAAATTTATAGAAATTATCATGGGGCTGCTTTGCGCCAACTATTGTTACAAAGAATAGTTTCTCCACGAAAACCAGTTAAATACACATTTTTTTTTGTCCCTCCTTAATTTTTCAAAAACTTATCTAGCTTTACGAAAAGCCCATCGAATACGCAAAATAGCATTCCACAATAATATGTACTTTTCAATAGTGCATCAGCATTTCACATGCTGAGCTCAGCTTAAATATGATGATGGTAATTATGCTGGAGACTATTGATGGCTAGCATTTTTATTTGTAGATAATACGATTAAAAGCACGGAATATTTGTGAAAATATGTTAAAATCAATTGAAATTTGTTTTGTTTTGATGGATTATTGCAAATATTCGAATCCTTTAAATCTGCTTCTCCGAAAACTGATTAAATTACATTTCACAATTTTTAGAACGAAAAATCCAATAGTGAAATTAATTTAATCATCGCGAGTAAGTTGAATTCACAAAATAATTGCAAACGCGTAGCTCAAATTTTTAGACATGCCATAATCAATATAGACATATAGCAGACATGTTTTTGATTAAAAATGTCAATTCTCCTATCGCAGCTGAAAAATAATAACACATTGGCGGATTGGAGCTGTTCGAATTTGTGCATTTTCAAAATTTGCAAGTTAATATTTGACTGTTCATAAATCAACCATTGCTGCAAAAATTCACGTCAACACAAAAAAGGGATGTCACCCTAGATCATCAATAAATTTGCCGCCCAATTTCATTAAGCTCTTCTCTATTCCCATTTTCGCTAGCATCATTCGTGCTCTTCCGACAATAAAGAACATCCGCATTATTCGTCCCAATAGAAAATTTATATCCTATGGTAGTCGCCATTGTTCTGCTCAATCAGCAAGATGAAAAAGAGAATGGAAATTGGTTTTAACAATGAATTTCCATGAAATAATGTAAATTCAATTCTTTTTTTTTTTTGATTTTTGTTCTCGCGTTTTATGACTATTTACAACGTGCACGTCTTTGTGCCGAAAGTACAAAACAGATGGTAGAATATAAACTTTTTGCGAAGGATGCTCTCAAGGTCAAACGGAGCCATGTATTAAGCATTGCGAGTACTACACATTCGGTTACCAGCCACTTCTCGAGAAGGCACTTATTTTTATAACAAATATTTTTTATATTAGCTGCTAAGGCAAAAAATTTCATCCGTCTCTCTTCATTCGCACATTCCTAAATAGATAATCCACCACACAATGTGAACGATGAAACTACTACGAAACCCAAGTCATTTTTCACCCATTTCCAGTTTCATTTAGTGCTTTTTCAATTTTCTTTAGCCAAATGTGGACAATGATTTTAAATGACTTTTTTTTGCACTCTATTTCTCATTATTTTTAAGACTTTCAAATTGGATCATTGAAATGGTAGAGTTCATCACACCCACTTTATTTTCTTTTTCATAATAGGTCACTGGGTCTCTTCGTCGATTAGAGTCAGTAGAAATGAAATCCCACTTTTTTGCGTTCACAAAAAAAATTAACCATTCTCGATTCATATTTACAAATTAACTTTTTTCGCAGTGTATAAGGAAATTTATGAAGTACGTGCAGAAAAAAGTCGTATGTGCTCATTAGTGGCTGGAGTTCTTGAAAGTGTATTTTAATTGCTTCATTTTTTTTAACATATAATTGTAAGAACGACATGATTAAGTCGAATACATCCTTTTTGAAAATTCTGAAAATGTTCTGGCATCTAACATCACTTAATCAGCCGTACTATTAATTATAGTAAAAAAATTAAATGTATGCAAAATTACGTCTGTATGAGTGCAGACAAAACGGGATAGAACCCGACCGTTTGAAGGTTTTCCGAAATTCAACTATTTGTAATCAGTCAAATATAACTGTAAGCTATACATATTAAACACCTATAGGCGTTAAAAATTATCGCCACAATCCACTTATATCGCTTGCCTTTACTTTCCAATTAATTAAAGACAACAATAAATCCATCGAGTTTCAGATGTCTGGAACGGAGTCGGATGAAAATGCGGACAATAGAGTTCTTCCGGTGATGCACCTCTGCTTTTGCGTAAAAATAGATTCATCAGATTTCAAGTTAAATGATTTGTCATTCAGTTGAACCAAGATTGCGAAAGAAACTGCACCATCGACGTTATTTGCAATCTCATTGAGGAGCATCTCCACAGAGTTATTGTTTTGAAGCCTTTCACAGATTCATATGACGATCAGCAACGTGTTGCTGATATCATTCAGTTTGAAAGACAAGGAGGCACCAACTTTTACATGCGTAACGCGGTAAATTATTTCCAAAATGAATAATAACTATTAAAACTTTTAAAGAGCCTTATTAATTCTAAACACTTTGCAGTCTTTGGATTCGAGTGCTCATGTTAAATTCATTTGGTTTTCTGTTCGTCGTGCTTACACGTACAATCACTACATCTACTACTCATTAAAAGTCAAATTCGAATCCGATAAAAGTAAAACCACAAGCAGAGACTGAAAACACAACATATACTCGTTTATAATATAGATATATTGCAAGCGGTTCGCGATCAAGGAATCGATCTTCCAACTACTGGCGACATTTTCTTTGATGTTCTAACGTGGTTTTATCTTGAATATGCGTCCAGTTATCACATTTATTTTAATTCAGCCCGTCTTTCGACTATAAGACAATTCTTCACAACTTGTTGAACTTTGTTCAACATGAGAAAAAGCGTTGCAAGTTTTTGAAAAAATATGCAGCGGATTTCTTGGAGGTAGAGAAACTTCTACAGTGCTCCACAAAATTATATACCCACCCTAATTTTGTCGAATAACTCGAAAACGCGAATACCTCCAGAAATGGTTTCAATTAGAAAAATATGCGCATTTATTATTAGTTTCATGTTACATTTACAAAATTCAACAAAAAATAACAATTTTAAAAATTTCGTCATTTTCACGAAAAAGTGGAAAAAATTTTTCCACAAAATGATATACCCACTCCATTTTTTTGGCGTTTTTTTCGATTTTTTTCGTATATTTTCGTATTTTCGAATTTTTTTTTGCAATTTTACTGTTCTTTAAGAAATGCCTCGTGGAAAGCCGCTCACCGACTTTGAAAAAGGTGAAATTGAAGCAAAACTGGCTCAAGGTCTCTCTTATAGGCAAATTGGGAATGATCTCGGACGCACTCATAATGTTATTAGCCGATATGCTAAGAATCCAGCCGCATATGGTCAAAAAACGTCGACAGGTCGTCCTTCACTGCTTTCGGATCGTGATAAGCGCAAAATTTTGCGAAGAGCGTCAAATTCGGCCGTGTCGTGCTCAACGATTCGAAGGAAATTCAATCTCACGCTGTCAAATGAAACCGTCCGGCGTGTTTTATCGAAGAGCAACTTCATCAAACACAGGAAAATGAGGAAGGCACCAATGTTGACTCGAATACATCGTGAAAAACTATTGGAGTTTGCAAAAAAGAATCAACAAACTGACTGGAGACAAGTGAGAATAACTGCAACGTTCATTCAACTCGTTTTCTTCTTTCGGGTAGTCTTTTCTGATGAAAAAAAGTTCAATTGTGATGGGCCAGATGGTTATCGTGATTATTGGCACGATTTGAGAAAAGAGAAGCTGCGGTTTTCGCGTAGAAATTTCAAAGGTGGAGGCGTCATGGTGTGGGCGGCAATCAGCTCGCATGGAAGAGTCAAGTTGTGCCTCGTTTCGCCGAAGATAAGTGGTTCTGACTACCGATACGTAATAAGACGTGGTCTGTTGCCATTTTGGAGTCGAAATAGGCACAAAAATTACTCTTTCATGCAAGATGGAGCCCCTTGTCATCGCGCTCGCCGCACCATCCAGTGGATACGCAGCCGTGGAATCCCAGTTCTCGACTGGCCAGCCTGTTCTCCAGACATAAACCCCATCGAAAACGTCTGGGGATTTATGGTGAAGAAGATTTACGATGGCAACAAGTCTTTTCATTCAACTACGGATCTCAAAAAGGCAATCGTGGAAGCCTGGAAGCTTGTCGATCAACAGCTTCTTGACAACCTTTATTTATCAATGGACAGTCGAATTTTTGATGTAACACGACTCAATGGAGGTCCAGTTAATTACTAAATGTTCATTTTCGTTCAAATTCTAACTCTCGATGCCTTCTTCTGAGTTTTTTATCAAGTGGGTATATCATTTTGTGGAAAAATTTTTTCCACTTTTTCGTGAAAATGACGAAATTTTTAAAATTGTTATTTTTTGTTGAATTTTGTAAATGTAACATGAAACTAATAATAAATGCGCATATTTTTCTAATTGAAACCATTTCTGGAGCTATTCGCGTTTTCGAGTTATTCGACAAAATTAGGGTGGGTATATAATTTTGTGGAGCACTGTATATTGTATATGTATATACATGGAATATATTTTCTGCAGGACAATGACGAGCGCATGACAAGACTCTATCAGACTTCGGACAATCTTTGGGATATGCTCGATTGGAAAGATCCCGTTACTGAACGGTGACAGTCTTTCACATAATTTTAAAATATATTATCAAATTGCAATTCAGCATCTTTTATGGCCATGACTACTTGCTCGCTCTCAATGACGTTTGGGGCGGAAAGATCGAAGTTTTCGGAGACGAGGCCATCAAGGCGATGGAAAATCTCTATGATCACTATAGACTTATTGTAATAGATTGAGCTAAAAATTATTTTCAAAGAGAATTCATTTTCAGGAGAAGTTCGCTCTGTACGCATTGATCAATTTGGACAAGATCGACGAGATCCCGCATTTGTACCATCCGCGCAACTTCTTCAAAATCTTCGAGAAGGATTAATTCAATTTGCCGGTTCAAACAGGCAACTATTCCAATGTTTCGCTCTTTTTCATCTATATTTTATTTGGTAGTTTAACTGTTCTCGTGTTATATATATATATATATATTTCACCCGGAATTCTCAAAAACACTATTATTTTGATTGAAATGAAACTGTGTGTGTTTATTCATCATATTCGAACCTCAACAACAATTCAAAACACGTAAAAATCTAATAAGAGGAGTATCTCCCGTTTTTAAAACATAGAAAAATCATTTTCTTGTGAGAAAATGAACGTTTTTAAACATAAGACAATGATAGTTAGAAAAAAAATGAATCGTGACTATTTTTTTTTTACAAAACTCGGTTTTCATGGGTGATTAATACATTAATAACTAGGGGCATTTGAAACAAAATAAAATTATAATAATTCGCAAAAACTAAATATGTGACAAAACGGCAAACTAGTAGCGAAATTATCAGAAAAAGACGAATGATTGAAAAAAAAACATTACTGATTACCAGCATACATTCTCATAGGATGTTGCACAGAACTATGAGTGTTCAATTCACGGAATGCACATTGATTAATTAACACAGTTCGAATGAAGAGGCCCCTAGAAACATTAGAGCATTGTTTTCCTAAAACATTTCAATACGGACGCCTGAGTAATAATCAAAAAGAGGTTCAACGATTGGTTCGCATGAGGAATTTTTCAGCAAGTCTGAGCGTATGGTTTGCTAGCAAGAATAGCCGGCGAAGGGTAACCACCCCAGCTTCCACTTTTTGACGACGGAACTCGAACGGCTCGATTGTTCTCTGAAGTCAAATGGTCCCCATCTTCTCCGGAATTCGGGACGGATAACACTTGAACATCCGGGCGCACCTAAACAAATTTTTCAAATTCATCATTGATGCTTTAAAATTCCCACCATAATCACCGTCGCATCGACGTTGTGTTGATCTTTGGGATCGAGCAAGTTGAATGTTCTTCCCATCACCGAAATGTGTGCGAGAACCATGGCGCATTGTGGACGAAGTTGTAGTATACCTATAAAAATCAAAATTTGAATGTAAATAATTAAATATGTGTCTTCAAAATGGTTTATATTATTGCTTTCTGAGCAAATATAAACGAGAATCGATTTTGTGGTGATGGACGTGAAAGCGTAAACAAAGTCATCTATATTTTTTTTTTTCTAAAGGCAAACAAAATCCTTCATTTTTTTTTTCATTCAATGCCATCAAATTTTATATTCACCGAGTTCATTCCAGTGTTTGATATACAGATGTCCCATGCAGTGCCACATGTAGCGCAGCATCTTTTTGACGGAAGGCACGAAGTTGTCTCCGAAGACATTTCCTAGAAATTTATTAAATGTATTGGAATTTTGATTAATCATGGCCTAACATCATCGTTAAATTGGAAGTTGAATTTAGATTTTTTTAAATAATTTATATTTACGTACCATATTTGGTAGGAAAGATGTCTTCCTGACGGCTCATTGTTTCACACTGAGACATTACACAGTCAATGTATTGCATCGCTGGATAGTATTGCCGTTTATTCCGATCATCCTGATAACTGGCCTTGCTCGTGCCAGGATAGCTCATGTGCTGACAAGTTATTGGGGTACAAATTTCGGTAACTGTTCCGCAAAGAGCGTTGACATGATCAAAAAGGCCAAGAACTGAAAGGGACGCATTGAAAACAATCTAATTAATGTCAAACAACTAACTATTATGGGCAATCCATTCCCGTTCATCGATTCCTTGTGGAAGACTAGTGATTTTTTCAACCATCTGGAAAAAAGATAACATTTGCATTATGTTATTTCTGGTCATCAAACCTTTTCATCAATTGAATCGCAGACGCACACCAAATCGGGAGACTTTGGCGGCGCACGCACCGCGTATGAAGCAGATGCGATACGCTTCGACATTCGCTCATTGACAGTTGTGGTTCGTTCCTTGCTTCGTCGCGACCGGCTGAAACAAACATAAATGTGAAATAATCCTGCTAATCTCCCAAAATTTTAATTCCACATTCCAAAATTAGGAACAAAAAAGTTTAACCTTCGGTTTCGATTCTTGCGTCGTATAAAACTACAACTATCGAATAACTGCTTCCAATTGAAAATTGATCGCACCGATCGACCCTGTTTGGTTCTCGAACCACTATCATCATCATCACCATTTATAAAATTTGGCATGACTGTTCTTTTGTATTAATTTTATTTGTAATAGTTATCACATATATTGACACATATCACGGGTTTTCGGCTGCAATGAATCGACTTTACGTTAATTACGGGATAGAAAAAGCGAAAATAGTCAACAGGAGAAAAAAATCAAAGAGTGTGAGGTTTTAGTTGTCTTTCGTCAAAAATAAATAAATGACTGCAACGAGTTCGCTAGCTCATCTTTCTGACAGACAGCCCAATCAGTAATTGAGAAAGTGGTGCACTTTTTGCTCTCGAATGATCAAATAGAACACAATTATAATGACCGGTGAATTCGACTGTGAAAAGTACGCAAAATTAAGGAAAATCAATTTTATAATTTTTTGAACTATTGTTTTGCAGGTGAAATATTAGATTTGTTATTATAATTCAGAATATTGCGGTTAGAAAGAGATTGAGAAAATGAATATTAATCAAATCACATGCAATACAGTATTTACAAGTTAATGCAAAAATGGATTACAATGTGCCACCTGTCGGCAGCGAAAATGTGCGAAAATGGAGTGCCACTTGGGCGACCTCAGCCGAGTATTGCCAATTTTTTTCGGCGATTTGTTTTTCGAATATATGTCGAAACATAGTTTTTTTGAGTGTTTAAAAATTTCCTACAACGAAACAATTTTTTTTCAAACTTTGGGTTTTTTCAAAAAAAATTTTAATTGGCTAAAAATGACACTGGAAAATAGTTCCAAAATATTTAATAGGTCTTATTGTATAGAATTAATATTTTTATTGTGAGGGTTTGTTCTTTTTTAAGTGATGTGATGAGAGTGCGGCGGCGAAAATTCGCGATTTTAATAGAACTTGACAAACTGTTCAAGGCAAAGAATCGGGACAAGATCGCATATAAAAACTGCAGGATATGTATGTATTTAAAAGTGAAACTCAGCGCCCCATCTTATTCATACATTCAATTCAATTCAAATATATGAAATTCACATGTGCACACGGTAGACCTACTTACGCAACGTTTTTGTTTGACATGGTTTAGCAACAAGCCGACAAAAAATTGAAATTCGAAACTGATTCATATCGAATTCGCAACCAAGCATCAATATGTACACTTGTGTATGCATTGTGATACGTTTCCAAAAATAAATACTTCCATATATGGCTTGTTGGCAGCCTGGCACCAAAAAAATCGGGGCCTCAAAATGTTGATTCGAAAGCAAAGCGACACATTCACAACTGGCCGAAATGTTATTTTCCGACCGGTCAACAAAAAACCGTTCTAATTGTGCCATTACGGTAATTGTACATATAAATAATAGAGTTAATCGGAATGCAGGGGCTATTTGGCTTATCAATAAATATATTGACGTTTCCAGCCTTCGCCAGTCAAACCAAGTCAAGTCATGGAAGGGGGAGGCAAATATTGCTGGCAAATTGCATAGTAAATGCGGCGAATATAAAGGTGCGTCCGCGAAGATACAGTTTACAACAACAATGACAGTCCCCGCTAATAAAAACATTGTGATAAAAGAAGGTAACTTCAAAACGAAATCGGTGATGCATGTATAATTCGGTGGCTTTGGCTCAGTGAACGCATAATAATTATTCGAAATTCTATTAAAACTACTTGATATTTGAGCACCTAGCGCATATTGTAGAATTGAATTCATAGTGGCCCTGGGTGAAATTTGGGTTATGAACATATTTTCTCACGCCTACGTGTTCAAATACTTTTTTTCTGTCTGAGTGTGCTTTGAAATGTGCGCCTCTTTTATTCTTCTACCAACTCTAATAATCATTTAGTGACTACTCAGTGAAAATAAGAATTCGGAAGCGGGAAATGAATTGACGCAGCCGCCAATTCCAACAGGCAACAAAAATTACATTTGCCGAACAAATTCAATAGACTCGAAATAATGCGCAAATCAAAATATGTATTTCGCCGACAAATGAAATGTCTGAATCTGAAAAAACGGCATCACGCCCCTCGGACGGCTGCCTTCCATAGGAACGTTTTTTTTACTGCATTGATTGATGGATGGATGGGATGGAATGGAAATGTAACCGAAGTGAACAAAACAAAATAGAACAGGGTCTACATCACATACACATAACCTGTCCAATTTCCAGTGTCGGCGAGTACATGAAATTACATGACCCCACCTATTGTCGTGATGTAATTTGTTCGGATATGTTGTAGTTGAATGTCTCAACAACAGAACACCAAACAAAAGGCATTGAAGCTCTGATTTGAGTTTCGATATTTTTGTTCATTTCCTAAACGCTTAACCACACTCTTTAGTTTTATCATTATTTACATTGACTCAGCAGGCGCTCGTCAGAAAATTTGCATAACATGGTGCGTTAAACATAAAGTGATGTGAATTGAATTCAATATCTTTTAGAAAACAATAGTTCCGCATTCTATCTGATCGACAATTTTTCAAATTTCTGTTCAAGGTAATGAAAAAAAAACATATGGGAAATCACTTCAAATGTGTATCATAAATTAAAATGTTAATGAAGAACAAACCACTGACCTTACGATTGGGTTCACAACTATCAAAGTTTGATTTATGCTTAGATAGTAAACATACAAAACGAAATTAGAGCGTTGTGCACGCATGAAAACACTGTAAATACTACTTTGATAGGAGTGATCTCTAAATGAAACACAATGCGAGGGCAAAACAGAATTTAATTTGATAAGCTATCAAACGTATTATGAATGTAAACTGATAAAATATTCTCTAGGTAACAGCTAACTAAAACGCGGAAGAAAATGCGAACATCGAATCCAATCTTTTCAGAAAAGTGTAATGCAATGAAAGATATATCTATTATTGATCCGCTGATTTTTGATTCACGTTTGCCGCGAAAGAAAAAAGAACCCCGCTGTCAGTAGTAATTAATGAAAAAAAAAAACATCTTACGTCGCGAAACTGAGAATATTCGATATCAAGATTTTAGCAGGACAACAACCGGGAGCTTCGTCGAGATCCATCGACGCGTGTCGTGCAATATGTGATTTCCTTCGTTCTGGTACAACGGACATTTTCCCACTATTTTTTTGGTTCTAAATTATAAAATTGGGTTCTGTAAAAATTAAGACGATGAATGTGAAAACAAACGAAGCGAACGATTTAAAATAAGATGATGAGATAGTGAATTAGTTAACCAAGCGACGAGAAAAAAATGTGTGTCTCATTTTGAGTGCCTCGTCGTGTCCTTCATGAGCTTGATGAAGAAAACGGAGATAGCGAAATTGAAAAATGTTCAGAACGAGGAAAAAAAGTCCATTTAGAAAACGATTTTGAGAAACAAGTGAGAAACCAAAAAAAAACGTTTCAATTTCGGCTGTGCATATCCCATTCGGCTAAAATCGGCTTGAGGCTCTCGAAAGGGGACAAACAACAAATAACATTTGAATTTCTGATGATCAAAGGTTTCGAGACGAGACGGAAAATAAAGGAGCGCCAATGGTCGCAGAAAAACAAACGCGGACAATAAAGAGTGCAGCAATCAAAGAGTGCTCAGCCGACGCCGCACTACAAAAAAATAACGCTAGCATGAAACTGGAACTCGCATCGCGTCGAAGCAATAATGATTCGGTTGGAATGGATAGAATAAAGCGACGCATCTCAGATAAATTTGTTTTGAGAAAAAGTCGTAGTAAGGAAGGAACGAGCGACATTCACACGTATTTTGTTTCTTGTCAAGTTTGTCAAAGGTTTTGGACACGGGTATTATATTTCGTGTTTGTGCCACCCGTTTTCCGGGCAACAACGAGCTTGCCCAGGTATGTGTTGTATACGAATGTATCGGTATTTGCACAAGATGCTCTCTATACCTTCCCAACTTTGAGTACTTGTCGCTCCAACTAGTAAATATAAATGGCATTATGAGATGAGTTGAAATAATTTGAGTTTGAACACGTTTCTTATCAAAAAATAATAGCCCGATGGAAATGATATCATTCGCCCGCACCACTCTTCCATGCGGTTTTTATCAGAACATTAAAATTTTCTGCTAATACGCATTACGATATGTTCTAGTTTGAAATTACGATGTTTGATTTAGAGAATGAACGAGAAAAGTTATTGATCACAGCAATATTACTTTCAAAAAAAAGCATATGGTTTTAATAAGCTTAATTTTTTCAGTGTGGTTGATACAATTTACGCAAAAGAAAATAATGCATTAGCGAAAATGAGACAAGTTAGTCAACATGTGTTTGAATCATGTTTTTTGGCGCGTAATTCAAAATGGTCACACCTGTTCAACCTTGGACATTGAAACTGAATGTATTGCGGGCGTGAATTTATTTACATTTTCGAAAAGTTAGAGGGGACAACTAGCTCTACAAATCATTAAGTTTTTTGGCTGCGCATCTACCAAAACAGGGAAAACAATCAATTTACTATTGTATGATGTCTAAACACTCTCCAACAATTCAAATTGTCCCCGTTTTTCAAGGCTGCCAACAATCGAAAACGAGCTACTTACAAGAAGAAATTATAACTGTGTGTTTAAACAACTGTACCTTGAAGTAGAGTGTCAACTAAGTAAATGGGAAATTTTTGAGGATTTTGTCTATTTGCAGACTAGATTCATTGTATGACCACAAGTTTACTTGGAGCCTACTACGGAGGTTCAAACTACTGTCTGCCAAAAAATCAGAAAATCAGAGCATCGATTCAAACATGTTTTTCAATTTAAAATATGTGGAAAAGAATTCAAAAACGAATGAAAGCTGATGAAAATCAAAGATAACTCGCGCTGGCAACACCGGCAGGTATGCAGGCATGTCTTTTAAATTTTGTTCGAATGAAATGTTTCGCTTAGTGGCATAAAAGCAATATATGTGTATATATCGTTGGTGTCTCGCCAGTAACGGTAAGCGACGATTACAATAACGTCCTTGGCCACAAGCTATCGGTCACTCATCAGTCATTCATATGCGAAGTCCAGGTGTGGACAGCGCTCTCTGTCAGATGGTAGCTACGTTTAAACCATTCACAATTCTCGATTTAAAAAAAAATATTCTCACAATCACTTGTTATAAAATTTCGCACATTTTTTTAAACACCAGGGCTTTTAATGTTTGTTCGAAACTGGAAATACCATGCGCGTCCGGTTTCCCCCTTCTCGAACATCGGTGAATCATCGCATTTCACTTTGCTAGGCAATGCAAAAAGACGACGTGGAAAAAAAATTGAACCCGAAAAAAACAGAATCGGGGACTTCAAAAATAAATGTTGTGAAATAAAAAAATGTCGTCGGTCCCGCCAGATGTTTCGCAGGATAGACATACCGATTATAATCAGGGACAAGTTCATCATGAAAATGAACATAAATGTCGGATTGGGATTCAAATATGTTGGAAAATCACAAATGAAGTCAATCAACAATCATAGGTTTTCTGCCTCAATACAAACAATGCGTTTCTCTGTGTGACGCTTGCGATATAGGTCAAAACTTGGAGTAATTGGCCCTTGCCTTATTGGGTCGAAGTAAACGTAATATGCGCATGAACGCGACTGTAATAGAATTGTTGAGACAATAGCTCAAATTATGCAGCGCATCAACAGGTATTTCCAATTAAATTACCAATTATTTTCTCATGAAAGTCATTATAATTGGAACAAATATCGAGATTTCAAAGCAAAGATGAGCGTTTGTTTCAAAAAATTCAGACAACAGACGAAGCAGCTGTGTTTTTCGAAATTTATGTGGCGATCATAATGATTATAGAACAAAATTTGGTGATGATATGATTGATCCTTTAAATTCGTCAACTTTGTCATAAAATTGACAGCAACGGGAAGTTATTTTTGAAACATTTTCTTATTTCTTCTGTGACAACGACAATTGCTCTCGCGACACTACACCCGCAGATGCACACACTCACACATTCACAGAAACACACATTGAGACTCCCCGGCATTGTTGAGACGACTGAGCTCGGCGCAAAAGAGAATTATTCAAAACAATGCAATTCGACAAATACGCGCCAATGTATAATGTATACGATTTGACCGGAAAGAACGAGAGGATAATTTCAAATTGACGAGGGGCACTCGAATCCGACGCCGCTCGGCAAAAACTGTCTCGCGTTTAAACGTATAGAAAATTCATTGGGATGTGAACCTCGAAAAATGTATTCGAGTGGAAAAAAGCCACGGGTCACGCCAATCACATGCACCGAAGAGATGATGAGCTTCAAAACATGTGACACGTTTGAAAATGCTCAGTTTTATGAGTTCATCGTTGAACAATTGATGAATACTGTTGCATCGCAAGATTTGGATTTACAATTAAAAAATAATATCCCGTCGATTAATCATATCGATTAATGTCTAAAGAACAATTCAAATTAGCATTTGATGTAGGCAACAAAAATCGAACAATTTGGGGAAATTTGAAACTTAAAAAATAGAAACAATATGACCTAGGTTAAAAAAAAACGTGCATTTTATATTGTTCACAACCTTTTCAATTTTTCCTAAATGGAATTGTCATATTTATATGTGAAAATAACACAATGCCCCTTTTCAAATAAATATTCAATTTTGTTGGAAATAATACGAAAGGCACGGTAAATAATTTCGAAATAATTTGAATATTGAATTATCCAAGTGACATTATCTAGGGCAATCTAGTTTCGCAATATAGGAACACTGCTGAACAAGCGATTAAATGAATATTCGGAGTAATAAAAGGGTGAACTCGAGAATGGAGCAAGAAAGCGAATGCCTCTTGGAACAAAAAGAAAAATGTTGTTCTCAAGGCCGACGTCATTAAAATTGCTATTTCCATGGACTGCATAAAATTTCATTCACAGTAAAGACAAATTCAAGGTGTCAAATGCAAATTTAAAATTGAAAACGAACAAGGTAGGAACAGAAACAGTGGCAGCCAAACTATTCCTTCACCTTGCAAGATCAATTTGGAAGATCGAAGGCTTCTTTTTTGGGAGATATCGGACAGATGTCTCTCCTCATCAACAATAACCAGTTTTGAAAGTCAGCTGGCGATATTCGCAAATTCGGATTATTGCATTTTGGGACAACCGTTACCACCAAAATGTTACATAAAAAATGCTAGCATAGGAAATACATCATTGAATATTATGTTCGAATTTGAAAGTATATATAATTGCTTCCTTATTTAGTCATTGCTTCATAGTAGTATGGACATGTTTTAAAGAAGTTCCGAATTTTTTGTGGTGATAGAATTATGAAAGTTTTATAATCGATTGAAGATCTTAAAAATTTCAAAGTTGAAAATTGAGTTCAATTAAAAACTAACAAACTAGTATAATACAATTTTTTGTTAAAGCACGTTCTCGATTTTAATCAAAATATTATGATTTGATTGTCAAAATTAATATGTCTCGAAACGCGATTGTTGATCACGCATGAGATGTCAAACGCGCACCTCGCAAAACAAATTGGTGAAAACTACCGAACAACCGTGACAAAACAATCAGTTATGCATATTAATGAGACAACCATCGCACGATAATTCCATTTAATATTTGATCGGCGACCATTTCAGAAGCGCGCGAAACATATCGAAATTAAGTGAGCGAGGAACAGCGGGATTTAAAAGAGAGATAGAGAGTGCAATGTGCGTTGCAAAAATTTAAATTTCCAATGTTTGCGAACGAACTATCATTTCGGAAACGAATAAAATTCGCAATTTTATGGGGAAATCGACTGGGGAGTTTTAAACATTTAATCGAAATTGTGAAGCGCCATGAAAATCGCAAAAAAATTCAATTTAATAATCTTTTAAAAATCATAATTTAAATCAATTTTATATTAGCAATAAACTGTTATAAGCAAATAGTTAGGTAAACGCAAATTTGAATCGAAGAAAAAAAAAAAGAATTTAGAGTGTCAGAAAGCGTCAAACTTAATAGGATAATGCGTCACTCTGGTGCGCAAATGTCATCTGCTTGGGTGACTGTTCGCTCATTTACATTCCTCAACGAACCAAATGAATATCAAGGTAAAGGCAATCTAATCAATCCGATGGGAAAATCGAAATGAGGTCAATATCGAGTTATCCCGAAGCTTCGTCAGCATTTTAATTTGACCCCCTACTGTGGGATTCGCAGTTCTTTACTTGAGCAGCACAAGGCTGCCCTCTCATCAATATCAGATTTCAGGATTATCCGACACTCAAGTATAATGAGAAATAACGCAAATGGAAGGAAATGTAAATGAAATGATTGGTAGTTCGTATGCATATTTCACCCACAAGTGCCTTCAAGGCAATGAGAACCGGAATTAGGTCTTCGTCGATTTTTTGAAATTGGAGTGAAAATAAAGCATTGATTAAAGTCACACATCTTATCAAAAAACGAATTGATAACATAACAATCTTTAATTTTGTAAATAAATTAGCTGTTTGTCTGCATTCTCCATACCTTCTCGTTACAAAAAATGACTATTGTTTTTCTTGAAACTCATGAAAATTGTTTTCTTTTATTATTAAAAACGAAATTTCTGAAATTATGATAGATTTTTTTTTCAAACTTCTATTAACATTTTAAACATAAATTTCTGCAAATTAATTTAAATTGAACGAGTTACTATGTCATTCTTTTTACTACTTTGAACGCACAACGTAATTCGAGACCCAGAAAACGTCTTGTAAACATCAAGCTCTTGTCAAGGCCGAATGCGTTTCATCGTGCCGAAACGACGCTAACTGTGTGGTCCCGAGCACGACCTTCTCCTTCCTCTCTCTCCCTCCTCGCATATTCATTTATTATTAGGCACACAACCGCTGATATCCACACTAGATGCGAACCAAGAAATTCGTATTTGTATTGTTTGTTGCATGACCACCTGCCCCCGGTATCACTAGGAAAATCGCGTACCCGATGAACCAGTCGACCGTGTCGCGCAAGTAGTCCGGCAGTCGATTCAGGATGTTCTTGCGTGGCGGCTCTGTAGCAGCCAGTTCCTTTGGTTTCGAAACGCTATTGGTGTCCACGTTGAAGCAGAATGTGACGTTACCAGGCAATGAAGCTGATTGATACGCACCAAGCGGGTGCGGATATTTCTTGACTACAAAAAACCATATTTAATATTAAAAAAAAAACAGGAAAAGGAGTCTTAATGAAAAACACCATTTTCGATTCAAAAAAAATTTTTTTTAAACCTCACAAAATAAAATGTATGCAATTAATGTGACGGCGGAAATTTCATTACTTAAAATGGAAAAAAACCATGCCGTAAAATTCGGGACATTGGCGAATTAAATATTCTCGAACAAATTGAGTGGTCACGCGACTTTTTAGTTGAATTTTTTCCATTTCGGGGAGTGTTAACATTGTTGAAATTACAGTATTATGCCCGCTGTATATTCAAATCACCAACAACAACGGGTTGAACGCGAATTTTGAACAAATCATTACTTTGAGTGGGGAAACTAAAAATTGAATGAAACATTTATAAACGGCATTATTTTTCTTCTTGAATATCATTATTAAAGCTCTCGAAGTGAACAAATTTCAAAAAATATTGGAGCCCACAAAAAGCGACAGTTGAAAAATCTTATTTCCTTTACAACGATACAACATAAATGGAAGCATGCGGCAGATATGATACGCTCACAATTTGTATGTCCAAAAAATGCCTACCACAGTTGCTTCCAATGCGTTTCTCCTTGTCTTTTTGACTTGAAGGTCGGCCCATTTCAAACGAGCATGCCTATTACCTGGAAAAAATACAGTTTGAATATATCGAAAAGAAGTTTAGAGACAAAAAACTAACAGAAGACGAAATGTGGCGAAATAATTTGGTGGATGGTGGATTATACATAAATTGCGTTCGCTCACGGTTGCATACAATACCCATATATCAACCCCGCAATGGCAGGCCCAAAAATCACATATGCTGTGGGATAATGAGCTATGCAGCAAACCACACCGGCCGAATAAATACAATCGAGAAGTGGTGCCATAAAACACTAGCACACAGGTTCACATTAAAAATGCGATTATGATTAATGCAAATTCATTAAACACTATTAACCAAAAGAATGGTTGATTGACAAAAGAAAACTAGAAAATTTCAGGAAAAGTAAGTGGCAGCGCTCTAACCGCAGACTAGCGGTTGGTCTAATATTACACTAAATAATATGTTTCGGTGTCCAAAAATCACCAGATAAATCGATGTTACTCGACAGTGATGATATTAAACTATGCGAAATAAATAAATAAATATAAGAACGTTGCCAGCCAATCTTTTAGCTTATAAAAAATAGTGTATTTTTTGTAGATCTTGCAGCATGCTGTTATAAAAACGTGTTCTATAGAGATGGCGTAAGTTGTTCAAAGTTTTAAATGTGGAAAATATTGGTCTTTCATGAATGTGGCAATTGGAAGAAAAAAAACTCGATTATTCCCATGAATAACGTATTTGTATAGAGAGCAGAAAGAGGATTGACTAGTTGCGAGAGGGAAAAGAAGAATAAAAATTATTTATTTATCTTCAAATTGAAGCCATATCAAACTGACAATTATGCGCGAAAATTCCAGACAATCAAATTTCAGCGAAGTCTGTACTAGTTCCATAAAAAGCAACAGAGCATACGCAAGAAAAAAAAGGATAATGACGAAGAAGTCATGTGAGGGAGAAAAAGCTGCGTGTTTTTCTTCAAGCTAATGGAAACTGAATAATGCGCAGAGTTGTCGTGTTGTCAAAGATTCTCACCATTTGAGCGTTTTATTTATTTATTTTAGTTATGTTAAAATCCAGAACCGCGCATGAATAAGCTTTGAGTGATCGCTCGATTGATTTTACTCTCTTTTGCCGTAGAACGGCAGCAGAAATGTTTTTTGGAAGTGAATGCATGTTTTGCAAGCCAAAATATTTATGTGTGTGTTTTTTTTAAACATTGCCATAAAGATGGCTGAACAAACAACAGCCAATATTTTCGACATTTTCGGCGAGCAAAAAAGCAAACAAATCTCTATCAATTAATTAAATATCAAAATGAAATTGTTCAGTTTTTGCATATAGAATACATTTTTGAATTGCTACGAGTTAGTATTGATAAGAATTGATAAGAACTCATTTTATTTTTAAACGATGCCAAAACGGAATATAATAAATAATAATATAATAATAAAGAATTGAGAAAATAATTCAAAGATTAGTATTCAATAAACAACACGCGGGTTTATTAATGTTTTAAAAAAGAAATTATGAGCTATAACTGTGGTATTAATTGTTATCTCTGCTATTCAATACTCATAAAAGGAATTGCATGTTTTGTGAGCATTATCATGAATCCCAACATCAAACGTCTAAAAATCAACCAAAATTGGTAGAAATAAAAAACGGGAAAAGAGAAAATAATGCCTACTTTTACTTTTTTATTCACATTACGTAGCCTTGAAACTGCCAATTTTCTTTAGAAGGTGTTGCATTCAAAGTATTAAGCGCAAAGAACTTGCAACAAAAAATCCAATTAGACGAAATCGAATTGTAACAATTGGTCGGTCATCTGCTCTCAAGCAAAAATGACCGAATGGAAGCAGTAGTTAATAGCTCTAATTGACAATTTGACGTCTGCCGATTGATGAGGCGCAAAACATTATGGCATCGCAGACCAACTTGATGAGTCCGACCCGAACATCCAATTATCTGCGTGTATGGCCCCTCACTACTGCCGCCGAGCCAAGCAATTATGGCACACAAGACAAATAGATGATCAAGAAGTTCGGCATCCAATTTGGCTCATATGACCACCAAGACTATATATAGAGGAGGTCGTTTCGTTTTCCCTTCGCATTCCTTATTCTACTTTTTCAATTTTCTCCGTTTCGCGCTCATTGTCAAAAACGAATAAAGCGGCAAACATAAATGACGCGAAGCGGCTGCTCTATGGATTTCGAAATAGCGGTCGGAGAAAACCGCAGGAGATGTGAGACAAAAATACATGACGTAAAGAAAATAGAGGCTCAACTAGTGGCGAATGTCGATTTCTCCGCGAAATTCTATTCTGGTTAAGGTTCCGTTTCTTACATTTATTTTCTTTTCGGATGACACATGACATTGAGTTTTATCATTGATAATTCACTGAAATATTCTGAGAAAAGGAAAAATCATAAGATGTTTTTGAAGCGTGAAAATACGGGTATTGAAAAATTGCAAAAAAATTGATTCCGTTTACAATCGGAATTAATAACTTCTCTATATAACTTATTTTTTTTTACACTCAATGAAACCGCCAATTATTAACCAGTTAATGCAAAAAAAAAATCCAATTATTAACCAGTTAATGCAACTTGAACTGCCGATCCGGAAATATTGAAAAATTTTATATTTAATTAAATGTGGTTTTCGCATGAAAAACATTCTTCTGATCACAATTTCATTGTAGAAAAACAATGGTTTATATGAAAAATTGTGTTTCAGAAATAATTGAAACCACATTCACAGGAAGTCAATAAAAAACTATCAAATGTTTATACTTTTCGTTTTTCTCTTGCATCATGAAATTTGAAATGACATCAAAATAATAAACACTGATGTCAATAGGGTATCGGGTGGCATGCAAAAAAGTAACGAAAATTGGCGAAACGATTACGCCATTTCTATTTAAATTGTATATAATTAATTAAATTCTTGAAATTCATTTTCTTTTTTGTAAATTTGTTATTCTTATGAACGGATAAACCGGCTTTTGCAAACAATCTGATAAAACTTTGCTCATTTTAATTTAAAGAACTACACTTTTCTCTAGAAAATCGTTCTAATACGCTCTGCTTAAGCACAATATGCTATCATTTTTTTTGAATAACTTGGACGACTACAACAAAGAAAATTTTTAAAAGCAGAATTTTTCATTTTACCCAGAAAGCCAATTTTCGGTAGAAGAGAACTCATGCGCAAAGAAGCATTTCTGTGAAAATAATTTGATTTTGAATCAAATTTTCTCGCAAGCCCCTAATCGAATACCGTCGAAAAGAGAGGAATACACTTCATAAACCGCAAAATCACTCAACGAAATACACTATTTCATATTTTTTAGTAGTTGGAACAAACACCACAAAAAAAAAACAAAAATAGAGCAATAAATTGTGAAAACGGTGTGAAATCGGAGACAATTTTCTTCACAAAAAAATTCACTCACATAACAAAACACCAAAGAAGAAAGTTCGATTGGTATTTGCCAGTGAGCCAATATAAAATGGCTTTTTAAACCCCAATTTTCGTGGCAATTTTACACAAACTGAACAATTTTTTTAGGTGGATACCAAAATAAGAAAATATCGTCGTTAATTTGTTTAAATTTAAATAGAAACTGAAAAACGAAAACATAAAAAATGGAATAGCAAGACGAATCATTCACCCGAAAAATCATTAAATAGCGGAAATGGAGGTGTGTGTGGATCGAAACAATGTATACGACTTGAAAAACTATGAAAAGTTAAAAATAAGAGACTGAAATTTCGTTTGTAAATAAGGAAATTTGAAAACTGTGTTAGTGGGCGCGACAGCACTCGAGACGCATCTGTAAACACGCCAACATTATATTGCGGACCAAATTGGGAATGACCAAAGTGGCAAAGCAAATAAAATCACGTCAAGTACGTTTTTTGATATTTCGACAAGAAAATGCACACCCAAAGGAAAAAGAAAAGATGCAAATATGGATGTCAGAAATGATAAATGCCTTTCGTGTGCTTCTTGATTATAGTGCACTATTTTTAAAATGCCGAGTCACTTTTTTAAAAATGCAATTCTTAATAATATCTAATAATCAAATATCGAATAATATTAAAATTACTATATGAAATATGTTTTGGTTGAAATTTAAGTGTTCGAGAAATTAATTTTACACTACAAATTTCAAAAAACTTAATTACGTAATAAAACATTTCAGTTTATTTGAAATAATATTCGGAGTTTACAATAATTAAATGAAAACCCATTCATACACTCCGTTAGAAACGCAAATCATGACAATATACACAGTTTGTCCTTCATTTCAGAATAATTTCACACAACTTTAATTAGTTTTACCGTTTGAATGCGTGTGAAATTAAGTTAAGAGAGACAAACGCCGACATCGGCGTTGATTCGCTAACGCATATTGGGGGAAAAAGAAATAAACTTGAACATGTGGAAGTGGACAACAATAAATGATTTATACGTTGTTTCCTAGTGAGCGATGTGGGTCGAAAAGGTGCCGGCCGAGAACGAACGTATGAGACTCATTTGCGCTTGCCCATTTGCACCCGTAAAATGACCTGACCATGGGAAAATGCATACAAGCGTGATTTGCGCACATTTATTCTTAGATCGGAAATGTGAAAAATAAAAGATGAGTTATATTTTAACGAAAATTGAGTTAGCTCATTAAAAACAATAAAAATAAAAGTTTTGCGATTTTAGTTGTTTGATGGAGCAAGAAAATCAAATGTGACATTTTGCAATGAAAGTTTCGACAAAACACACAACATCGCGTTTTACCAAGATTTTATCAATTCGAAAAACTTTTCATAGTTAAATTGTGAAATTATATGAAATTTGCACAAGAATAATTCAGTGTTACACTTTATTTTAAAATTTTTTTATTGTAACTTTTTGACAAGAGTAAAATAGAAAAAATTTTCATGTTCAATTTATTTGAATAAAATTAATTGGTTACAAGTTCATTATAATTTATTCATATTTATTAA